AAAAAAACACACATCCATATATGGTAATCTTACCTTATTTGGAATCATATATTAGATTTTAGAAAGTCACTTTAAAATCTCGAGAGAAAGAATATGAAAAATATTTCGGAATGGCACTAGGTAACTAGTGGACCTTAAAAAGCCTTTGAAATTCAAAAGCCTCAGAGGAATTTACATCCTGACACATGATTTTGCCGGTAGTATAGTTCCATGTGTACAATATTTTTTCATGATGACAATGGATATTCTCCGTGTGCTGGAGAATTAGAAAAATAAAAAAAAATAAACATTAATTCAAAAGCTTTGTAGTCTATTTGTATATTTACAATTTCAATTTGCCTTTTAAGGCCTTTTTTCGGCCCTCAAACACCAACTCGTTGTAAAGCGGTAAAATGTTGTTTTATTACCGCTGCGGTCCTGGTTCGCGATTTGAATTTGTTGATAGATTGTACGCTGGCTCTCCCCTTCTCCAAGCGTTTATTCTCCCTAAGTAACAAACAAGGACCCAGCATGATTTCTGTCCTTTTTGGACACAATCAGCCCATTAACCTGAAAAAATTAAAATGTGTGCTTAAAGAAATACAACAACAACAACAACAACAACATTAATGTGCCAGACCTGAACAACCAATATCGTCATGATTATTATTTTTGTATTTTCATTAGTTTATTATAATGTGTGCTGCTTCAATAACATATTAGTGCAGCACACATTGAGAACGTGTGTTGGTGCAGTGGAAACTTTTAAGAATTCGCTCAGGCTGATATTTCATTAGACATGAGTGTTCCCATATACGGTGGCCTTACTGCATCATAAATAGAGCGGATTTCGTATAAGTGGGAAACGGATGGTACTGTACTGTGACTGTAATCGTACTGTAACCAAAATCTAGTGTCTCATTGGTTCACAAAAATTGTGCAGGCCAGGTCCGGTAACTGTGCGGTAACCGTGCGGTAACCGTGCGGTAATTTCTACCGTACGTTTCCCACTCATACGAAATTGACTATATTTCATTGTCGCTACAGTCATGTGGCAAACAAAACATTAAAACTGGCTGTAATTTTGCACAGTCATTCTTACACCGGAGTTCATTAAAAAAAAATCATTATAGGAATTTCAACTTTTGGAACTGAGTATCATTAGAGCTCTCAAAACATTTAGTGAAAGTACTCGCATGTGTCATGGTTTGGTAATGTCAAGGTAGTGCTGATTTAGACATCATCCCTTTGTCAAAATACCGGATGTTTGCTTATGCACTTAGTACTTTTTGCCGTGCAATTCCTGGATACTGTACAAACTTCCTTAGCGTCATGTCAGAGGAAGTTTTATCCTGGCAGCGACATCCTGTCGAGGATTYTTTGCTGGTCGCGCCCAAATACAATGAAAACGAATGCTCATATATAGTGACCGCTCGAGAAGGAGTGARCTGAATTTGGCTTTTAATTTGTTGTTGTTGCTATTTTCAATTACCCTTGAGAAATCTAGTTCATCTAGGTAAAATTTCTGACTATGTTAAATATGTTCTGTAGCTGAGTGTGCAACACAATCGTATTTTTATTTTTGCATTGTCATTATCTCCCTGCGTTTAACGGTCAAGTATCAATAGACACACAAAAGGACTATGCTGTTTGGCATCGACCTTTGTTTTTGAGACTCAATTAAGATGAAACTAACTCTGAAATACTTAAGAGTATACTTCAACTAGAATCTCAGAAAATATCCAACAGTCTCTTCCTTTTAGAATGCACAGAGATAACATACAGTACATCACGTTCGTTACAAAGTCATTTATAAAAAAACGGTTTCTTGAAATTCCCTGGAAGCATTACAGCTTAAAATTCTAGGTAAATAGAAAATTAAATGTTATTAATATTGATATGGCGTTTGCGAAATTAATTGATGTTGAATGTTCGAGAAAGAAAACAATTGAAATGTGAGGTATGCAATATGTTCTTTTTTTACTACTTCGGAATAATATTAATGGATTTGATAAGTGGAATTGTATGCTTTGGTATTTGCGCCCATCGAAAAACTATCGTCTATCAAAAAATATCGTATTGGAAAAACTCATCTCTTTGGCTTTTTACTGCAATTTACTAGTTTTGATAGACCGTCTAAGTTGAGCAAGATCCATTTAGAACTTTAAGGGTCATCCGATTGAAAAATATAATGTAGGGCGGACAATTTGGCAAAAGGTCTACTTTTTTGCAGAGTCATTTTTGCACCGGATTTCACAGCGGAAAATCAACCCTCAAACATTTTTTTTAACTTTTGGCTTTCAGCATAATTTACTGCTCTCAAAATAATAAGTCGCGAAAGTCTTCACGAGTATCGTTCCATTAATGCCAAGGTGATGCAAATTTTGTATCATCGCTTTTTTGAGTTATAATATCACAATTCCAAATTCTTTTTGCTTTATACACTCTAAGCACTTGTCAATTCTTCAAGTGTCCTCGTCGTTGAGCAGCCGTGTTGGGTGAAGGAGCTATCCGAACCCCAGTTTCAAAGAACTTAAACTTTCATGTACTTGTAAAGACAGAAAGTTGCTTACATTGATTTGGTATCGATTAAACTAATTGAGAATCTTTCAACGAGAARGTGGGCTGACAATTTGACCTGAAAACACTAAAAGTATAGAATGCTTCGAGAAAGTTCCAGAAAGTATGACACTTGTAAAGTCATAGATATTTCTAGAACATTATAGTACAATACCAGGGTACAACGAAAGACCTAGAATGTTTTGTAAGGTTTCTTTACCTTCTTGTAAATATTTATGGATTTTCTTGAGGATGAACAACAATAACAATCAAAAGCTCGATGTGTCAAATTAAATGTTGTTCGATGAGGCTTTTATCATCCTCCATATAATAACAAACTTATTATAGCTTTGTGCAACCCTTTTCATCCTTTTTGTCCCGAAAAGGAGTTAAATTATTTAGAAACTCTGACCGACATGGAAATCCAATTTTCCATTCTCCAATTTTTGACGGTTTCTACCCTATGCCTCAAATGWTCTGTAAGTTACACTACCGTGACTCCCACGTTCGTTTTCTTTTTAAAATATGTCGTTGCCGGATTTTTTTCTGTCTGAATCTTTATTATATTACCCAAGTTAGGAAATGACATCAAACATTAAAGAAGACAAACGTGGAAGATAATGCACTTGAATTCTTTGTAATGATTATCAATATAAAGCAGTTTGTTTTACTTAACCTTGCGTCATAAGACGTCGTACAAACGTGCAATGCTGCGCATTATCCGACGTGCAAATCCTCACGAAGCTGACTTCTGAACTTTTAATTAAGTGTTTCCACGTTAAACAGCACATGGGCGCATTTTTTGCTCAATTTCTTTCCAAAACAAGCTCTGTTCTTTCTGTATGGCATTTAGATTGCAATATCTCGTGATTTAATTGACCTGCAATGCAAATGAACCGCTTTAGTTTAGCAAGAAAAATTTTGAGCTATTTATTTTACAAAGTTTTCCGGACTAAGAGGTCAAGCGCCAGTTGTCGTCAAATTGTCTGGAATATCCGAGACAAAGAGTATAAAGAGCACTGACTAACCGCCTACTGCTAAAGAGAAAAAAGAACTTGCAGAAAGCACCTTATAAGAAAAAACAAAATATCTAAGGATCTGTGTTCTTCGACTATGCAAATGACGTCGATGTTTGGGCAGAAAGTTTTCTGTTGTGTGCTGGCCTTGATAATCGCCTCGTTTTCTGAAAATATCAAGCTTTTATTTCGTGATGGGCTGTTTAATCGAACTTTTCAACTTTATATCCATTCTCTCTCCATTAGTTCTTGGATTGGAACTCAAGCTTGGGTCATCTTTGTTGCTGGTAAGTACGGACATCTCTTTTTATACATCAATCTATGATTACAGATGATTACTTAGAATGCCGGTAACAAGATTTTTAACATATAGAAATCAAAAAGGTGCATGTGCAAATTAGTACAAAGTCCATTTTCATTGCAACATACTCTACAAAACCACTTTTTGTGGAAGTTTTTACAAGTTTTTACAAAGTATTACTCGWTTATAATTGATAACAATTCATTTCGTGTCGTTTGGTAACATTATTGTTGCGTGATTTGATGTAAATTTTTCTGAGTAACGAATACTTCACCGTAACATTGCGCAATAGTTGAGTTTCGCGATATCTCTCTTACACTGTGCTAGCCTCAATTGTGTGTAAAATAGGCARAAATTTAGATAAAACTCATGAGATTTCAAACTATTTTTATTGTGTTCTATACTTACAGATCTCCTAAATTTGCACTGTCTTTTACGGAATGAAAAAATTTATCATATAATTAATTTATAATTATATGATAAACAGAATATTACATGGTATCTTGTAGATACGAATTTTATATTGTTATTTTGCTTTATTTCTATCATATTTTTTWAAATTTGTTTAAATATATTTTGATCATGATTTGTGAATGATGGAAAATGAGGTTTGATATTTGATATTAAAGTGGAATGCATCCGAACACTGAGAATCAATGGACTTCTTTTTCACAGGTATCACAATGTACTTTAATATGCCACGYCATGTATTTGGTCACATACAGTCCAAACTCTGGCCGATCTATTTTAAGCTTGGGACCACTTTAACAGTCATCGCTCTTCTAACGAATAAAGCAGTATTAGGACTTAAAGAAAAAAAGACCCCCATGGAAGAGTTACAGGTTAGTCTGAATTATCAACCGGTATTCCTTTATATAAATACATCGTAATATAAGCAAAATCTKTCTTTTTTACGCCTCTGCATGCCTTATTAATGAAGATTCGATTTAAAATTAGACGGATAGAATGGATTTTGGATAAATATGTAGAAGTCACCTCATTATTTATTTTTAAAACACGACCCGGCGAATTGATTGCCGGTTGACCTTAGTCCTTTGACTRCATGCATGAATGCATTATATTCCTGGCTTGTGGATCCACTTGAGTTTTGAACATTTTAGGACGACATTGTTAATAAATGCAAATACAACTCAAAACCGTGCGCAATTTGTTAAGTATTGTATAAATTCTGCAAATACGTACAACATTCGGTTTACAGCAATATGCCGAAATCATCAACTCATTTTAACTCATTTTGACTCACATTTTGACAATATTGGCGATGATGTCCACATAGTTTTTGATATATTTTATATATACATGAAATATGAATCAAAACGATCATAATTTCTGTGCATATTGCTGTACATACAAAGATTTGACTATTTAGGGAGGAAAACTAAGATGTAGAAACCCAGGCAAAGAACTTTCTATCGAAGCAGGGGGCAGATAAGCTAAATCACATCCGGACAAAATTCACTGTCTCAAGGGTGGAAGGGCAGATGGCACTTATAAGTTAGATCTTGAGGGGAAATAAACCTACTTATAAACTCAGAAGCCAACCGCAATCAAGTAAAAATTAATATTTTCTTTCTAATTGCAGTTTGCATCCGGTCTCCTCGTCTCTCTTCTTTGTGGAGTACTGAACTGCTTCGTGTTTGAACCCAACGCCACAAGACTCTGGATGGACAGATTTGCTTTTGAAAAAGAACGAGGATTTGGAAACGAGATTGGTCCAATCAAAGACAAGGATCTATTATCCAATCAAAAGTACAAGGCTCTTACGCATGCGTTCGCTAAGTATCATGGGATGTCGTCGTTGGCGACTGTCTTTTCCTTCATTGGTGGTCTTGTACATCTATGGTACTTGACGTGTCACTTAATAACGTGACGCTCGCCATGCCTTCTTAGGAACTATATATCTAAAAATTAAAATGTCAGAATCTTATTGTATAATAGTGTACAAACTAAGTAGATGATATTCCTTCAAAGCACTAAACATTTTGATATTAAGGGCTTGCACAAGCTCAATCAATCATTTTACAATGAACTCTAATTATGTCCACGAAACATTTTGTAAGAAATTTCTAACTATTTCAACAATGGAGAACAAAGGATTTTGTTCGAGCTCTGCATAATTTCGCTAGCGAAGTATTTAGTGGATATAGAGAATGTAGAAGAATAAGGTGTAAGCTATCCAGCTGATCTGAGAAAAAATGTTAGCCAATCAGAATCGAGAAAATTTGCAAAACTGAATTGTCACCCTTGGTAGCCTGGCTTTCAAAATGGCGGACTTACGTGCTCGACGGGGAAAAGTTTATTGTTTATTCTTCTTTGTCCTTGGGGTGATTTTCTGAAATCTCTTCGCTGGCTTTTGTGTATCTTGATCTTAAAAGGCCATTGAACATTTTGTTGAGTCCATTGTACATCCTAATAATCCATTGGAGGTTGTGATTTTCCGTTTTAGCAGATAATATGAATAGATTTTTATTTTCAACACTTACAAATGTTTTATATTTTCGCCGGCTCGCGACGCGTCCGTCCACTGCTCACGCAAATATTTATGCATTTAATTAAATTTGGTAGACCGCTGGTCAGTCCTGTGGGCCCAAGGACAACTCAGTTTTGCAAATACGTCATCATGACGTCACATTTCAGATCAGCTGGATTTATTTATTATGGTAGAGTGCAAACACTAAAACCATGAAAACTTAAGTAATTACAGTGCTAAATTGTAGACTGAACAATGCGTAAATTCCATTGTTTTTGGTTGCCTAATCTATATCATATTGCTCTATTTAACACTATTTGTTTAAAGTGAAGTAAAAACAATCCGTGACAACAGGGTGAATTCGTTAAATCCGTGAAACAAAACCTGACTATAGAATTGATATATAATGAAATATCTATTATACTTTAAGAGTCAACTTTTGTTTCACGGAATGAGCTCACTCTAGTCTTTGTTCGCGCTTTGCGTGCTTGCACTCTTAGTGTTTACACTAGAAGTCCAATACATGTTCTGATCTTGTGCGCAAAATATCAAATGTGTAAGTAAGCAACTAAGCTATATTTAAACTCASTCTATTTTGGCCTCTTATTTTGATTAAGCGGACTAATTAATACAAAAATATCTTAAATTTACGCAGAATATTACGTGTACATAAGAATAAGACACGCAAGCTCTATATTCCTATTTATAGAAAAGGGATAAAAATGGCTTGTTAAAGAAATAGCAAACATCATGTACATCAAATAATATGTGAGCACACGACAAATAAATAGTTAAGCATATGTGGTATGTTGCATTATTGGATGGTTGGTACGATATTTTTATTTGAAAAACTATTTACAGGGGATAAGGAAACAAGAAATGTTTGGTATGCCTGGATTTTCGGGATCTTGACGTTGATTGGTTAGGGAATTGATATCCGACATCATAAGTGAGAAATCGATATACAGCTCTAGGCTTTCATAAAACCTTGAATAATGAATATTATGATCCTGCACTATGTCTGCCTCTCTTTCCATTCCACTCTTGGGCTTCCTGTCAATTCTAGGCCTCCCAAGAGGATATCAAAGGTATCCCAAAAAGGCAAAATGCTTTTCTTTTCCTTTTTATAGGCTTCCGCTTTCTCCCTTTTTCTTTCTTTTATTTTTGACTTAATTGTTTTTCTTTCTTTTCCCATTCTTCATTGTGTATTACTGATTTTTTTTCTTGCACAACTGGTGGACAAGCATCGATGTTGTGTTTCAAGCAGGGGCAGGGATACATATTGTGTTACAAGGCTTTGCATCCCAGATTTTCCAGAGAGACAAATTTCGCTATGGATATTATGTAATGTTTAAAGGCCGACAATGAGGACTTGACGGGGTTTCAAAGTCCGCGCAATTAGTTTTCACTAAATTAATGTTAATTGATTATTTCTAATAATTTGATTATCATTAGCTAGTAGTAGCTGGAGATATGGTAGAAGTAACTGGAAATAATGTAGAAGTAACTAGMAATAATGTATAAGTGACTTGAAATAAGCTCGAAGTAACTGGAAATAAGGAAGTATACAAGGTAGGAGTACTTCCTCTGGTTTCAAGTTACTGCACGTGGAACAAATTACAATCAGTGATTGGCTGGATAACTCATGAATAATTAATGAGTTTTTGAATTTGTAATCATAATATAACAGAACACAAGATCAGTGTTGAGACTGGTTGTCTTGACATGACCCCAAAAGGAAAAGCCTCAGATGCAGGCGATAGAAAAACAGTCATATGGCCAGTGAAAAATAAAGAAAGAAAATGGTCTGGTAATCCGGGGGAAGAAACGGAATCATGTTACATGCATTGGAATAGACCCAGTCCTAGCTCTGACAGCTATGCAGGACTTAAAAAGTACAAAAGCACAAAGTACGCTTGTCAACAGGCCGTCAACAAAAACCATTGGCTGGCTGGGTTCCCCTATAAGTCTATCTTTTGTTTAATTTGTTTTTTGTTTTTGTTTGGTGTTGTACTGTTGTTTTTGTTGTTTTGTTTTGTTTTAATTAGTTTAAAATGTGGCTAGATCCTTCCTTGTTGACTATTTTGTGATTTTTTTTGTAATTGTGATTAGAAACCTGGGTCGGGTTGTTCAAAGCCCGATTAGGTTAATCCAGGGTTAACTCCATAGGTTTTCTAAGAGTTCATTCAGGTTCGTAATGGGGGGTTCTCAATGTCGGTATTCAGTTAAAATTTCAAGCATTTTTCGCTAGTCAGTTAAAATTCTAGGCATTTGTCGGTAGTCGGTTTATTAAAAAAAGTTGATAAACATTAAGTTTAAATCCC